AGAGTAGCCATTTTGGCTCAAGCCGTGAGCGGCTCAAGCGAGTGTGGCCACTCTGCCCGATGCTGCTACTCCCCTTGCTTGAGGCTGCACTCTCTCAACCCGGGCGCCTGCACCTACTTTTTTTCTTGCTTTGCCCTTTCGCGCAATTGCTGAACAAGGAGGGGGGAGATCCCTGCTCGAATCGTCCACCTCGCTTTTGCTGGTGAGCCAGGTGTGCAACGTTCCACCTCGTGACCCGCTGCCGCTTTTCGCCCACCCTTCGGGAGCTTGACTACAGCGACCGCACCAAATTCGGCAGACCTACTCAAGACCTTGCGCTTCACAACGATCCCGCGCGCCATCCAGCTCGCACGGGGACATTGCCTCGTCTCTGTATGCCTCAGGCCGTTCCGCAGGCACCGTGATGGACAGCAGCGACGGCGTTTCGAACACAGTACCGATCTACCAGAGCTACGCGCACCCCACGCCATCCTCCGACAGGACCTGGCTGGCCGTGATGTCACGGGCTACATGATGAAGATCCTGACCGAGGGTGGCTACTCCTTCACCACCACGGCGGAGTGCGAGATTGTTCGTGACATCAAAGACAAGCTCTGCTACATCGCCTGGACTTCGTTCGACAGTGGAACGAAGGTCGCCAGCGAGAACAGAGACAAAGAGGAGCCGCACGAGTTGCCGGATGGTCACATCATCACAGGGGGTGCCGAGAGCTTCTGCATGCTTCCACAACCCGGAAGTACTGTTCCAGCCCAGCTTTGTAGGAAAGGAGGCCAGCGGCATCCATGACACGACCTTCCAGTCCATCATGGAGTGCGCCGTGTACAACCCAAAGGACCTCTACTCCAACGTGATGCTATCTGGTGGCACCACCATTTTCCAGAGCATCGGTGAGTGCATGACCGAGCTGACTGCCCTGGCACCTTCCACCATGAAGATCAAGGGGGTGGCTTTTCCGGAGCATAGGTACCCCGTATGGATTGGAAGCTCCACTCGGCCCGGCCTTCCTGCACCGCAAATCTTAGAGTGAGGTTTTCGTGCACCGCGACAAGAATGACAAAAACAAAACATGTCGAAGAGGATCTAGTCACTCATGTTTATGCCTTAGCCGATGGTTGCCGGTGCACTTTGCTATACCTTGTTTATTGAGTGAGCGAATGTGCTTGTTGTTCGCGGGTCTGGTTTGGTTTTGCAAACAGAGGCACCAGCCATTCCGCACGAATTTTCGCTTCTTATGTTATCAGTGTGTTCAGTGTTGCTGCCCTCGTGAACGCCTGCTATATAGGTTACGACGTAGATTCGGTAGCTTTGGCCAGACTGGCTCTGCCGAAGTCATGACCCAGTGTCAATGGGCTATATCGGGAGCCAGCGAAAAAAAGCTGCCAAATTTCAAGCTGTGAACCATGATCTTGTGAGGATCGCCAGACAATCGCCATGTTGCTGTTAACTTTACTACTCGAGGGGAGGTCCCCCGGTCAGTGAGCTCCTGAGCTCCTAGCCCAGGCTTTTTCTTGCTGCGAAGAGTAGTCAGCATCCCGCAGCGCCACGAACGGGCGTCCTATTCACTGCATCGCTCGGTGTTGCTGCCCTTGTAGACTTGTAGAGCCCGAAAGAACACAGATGCTGCCCCATTTATTTGGACTAAGTCTGCCTTCCCCGCCGGTACTCTACTTCACCTCAATCTCGTATAGGCGACCCAAGGCAGGCAGGGGAATATGGCCTCTTGAACGAGCTACGGACAGTTGCAACAAGTCAAGTCAGGTCGTCGAGGGATCATGTCTTGTACCGACAGGGGTTTTCTGGGTTTGACATGTTCTGCTTCCGCATGGGTGTACCTGCGAATGTGGCTAAATTTCCGCGGACATGTTAACTCAGGGCTTACACTGTGTTCCTTTGTCCTGTTTGTTTTTGAGTGTTGCTGCCCTCGTGAAGCGCCCCTAGCCCTAGCCTGAACGAGTTTGTGGCCCTGAAAGGGGGCAGACCCAGAAGCCGTCAGGCAACATCGCACAAAGCTTTGATCTTTAACCTTGCATGGGGTAATACTTGGTTGTTGTGTGTCGCAGTGAAGTTTAGGTCCTTTTTGTGCCAACCATGCCTCTTTCGTGCAAGTTTTTTCCAAGCTATTGGCACCCACAACAGGCGGTTGCGGCAACTCCCCACCACAGCCCTGGCGAAAGACAGGAGAGACCGAATCAAACAGAGCCTGGGGGGGTTTAGCGACCACCGTACTTCGCCAGACAAGAAGCCGTTTTTGCGCATGACCCCAATGCATCTTTTTGCTGAACCAGATGGGAAAGGGGGCGCCTAGGCGCCGGTCCGGGCAGCCGGACTCAAACCCTGTGAACGAAGGAAGGAAAGAAGCAGGGAAGGAAGGAACGAAGGAAGGAAGAGAAACAGAGCCCTTGTCCTCCACCCTCGCAAAACAAAGGAACGGCTGCTCTCGGGCAATACGACCCAACAAGTCCGCTGACAAAGAGCTCTTGTGAGCGAATCAAGCAGGCAGGAAAGAAGGTCAATCTGGCTCACCCACGGCTGAGTGGAACGAAGAAGGTGGCTGTTGTTCTGGAGAGCCACTGCGAGCCAAAGGAATCCAGCCGCAGTGTCTGCAGCGGAGGGACTCCGTCAAAATGCGAGAAGCCCCGGAGACGGGAGGCCAAAGCAGAAAATGCTTTCCCTTCCAGAGGCAGAAGAGCCGCTGCAGAGTACCTGGGGAGTACTGAAAGATGGTGGGTCTTGAGCTGCGCGGTAGACGGGAGAGAGTCAAAGATACAATGGTGAACCCGGAAGGTTCCAGTCCTTGCCATGCTGAGAACCCCCCCCCCGGCCTGTTGCGAGGGCTTCAAGCCTGCGAAAGAAACGCATCGGCGAGGCTTCGGTGTCTGCCCAACCTTTCAACCCTGCGAAAGATCGGCACTAAGAGCACTAACAAAGATGCTCATCAGATTCCTGTGAAGCAGTGGGGGACGCCCCACCGTGTACCTGCAGCTTGTGACATCATCATTTCAGAGGCTATCCTTTGGCGTTATGTAAGCAAACCAACCCTATTGAAGACCCCAACGCGTTCTTGTTGAGTCTCAGAGTGAGTCTGGGTGGGTGGGTGGGTCAGAGTGAGTTTGGGTGGGTGGGTGGGTGTGCGTGCGCGTGCGCGCGCGTTCGCGCGCATGCATGCATGTGTGGCTGTCAGTTCCTTTCGAGATTTTCCAGAGGGGCAACTGAGCAACTCACCCAAATATCTAGTACGCCACGGTTCACGCCATCGCTTGCCTAAGAGGGAGTGCCTAGCAGGCCGAGCAGAGTAGTAGAGTATGGGGCCGTCCAACCCCGCTAGACGAGTGCAGAGTTTAATTGCCCGCCGATTCGACTTAGCTGGCTTAGCGTGGCGAACATCTCACAGCGGAAGATGAAGGAACTTGTTGCTTCCGTTGTTGGCTCAGCTCCCCACTGTAGTTGAGGTGCAGGAAGGCGGTAATTAACTAGTCGAGTTGTGCCTGGGAAACGGCATCCTTGGGATCTGCCTGCATCACAGTGAGGCGAGCAGCAGGACCTTTGTCCGTGCCGTGCATGGAGATGCTCGAAAGTTGCTAGCGGCGGTGACGTCAGCAAGGCGAACTTATCGAATTGGCAGAAACCCGGCCAAAGTTCAATGCTGTGTCCCCGCTTAACATCCATTGGCAGGGAAGGCACCTTGAACGGAAGGCGTTTCGCTGCACGAGTGGCTCTCGTTTCCTTTCTGAGCGGCTAGGGATGGCTAGGGGTTCCAAGTTTGGATGATCCTTCCTTTAGTAGCTTTGATACCTCTCCCGGCTGCTCCGCCTATTTCTCCACCGCCTGTATGGTTTTTCTTCGTTGAGAACTTTGCGGGCGTGTCCGGCAGTCCTCTGCGCTTGCTGCGTGGCGGTGGAATTGGAAAGGTTATGCATCGTGTTGACCACTCCAAGGAGAGCTGCCCATCCTCCTGTCGTTCTCAAGTGCCATGGCCCAGCCGAAGCTGATGGACACTGCCTTGGATCTTTCAAAAAAGGCGACCTCACGCTTGCCGTTTTGGGTGCCGACATGCTAGCGCATATGCTGCAAGGCCACCCTCGTCATGTATTTCCTGACGGACCACCTGGGGTGGCTGAAGCAGGCAGGAAGACAAGGACATGACATCTTTGGTTGCTGCCAAGTCTTACTCCCGATGAAAAGACTGCGAAGCGAAGTCCGGATGCCCTTCGTGGCCCGCACTGGTCTCATAGGTTTTCTCTTTCGGGATCAGGTCTGTGAAATCTGATTTGTGAAGCTCCGGGCTTGACTTGTCCTTATTGAAACCAACATTTTGAGTAGTACAGGCGAGAAAGTACACAGTTTTTCGCGTTTAAAAGAGCGGCCCAGAATACCGTCGTCGGTGACGACGATAAAGTGCAAGGCCAGGGTGTGCCAGAGCTAGTTGCGTTTGCTCGTCACACTGATAGATGGATGCCTCATTGGCGTGCCGCATGAGATGCCTTCCAAGGGAGTTGCTGTGCAGGACGTGCAGGAGCATAGAGAAACCATTGTTATCAAGTGTGTGTGTGTGTGTGCGCGCGTGTGCAAGTGCAAAATGCTTGACATCGTGCTTTTGTTGAAGGTGCTCCGCGATGCTAAGAGTGCAGCCGGCACAATTCAGCGGGGATTGACATGGCTAGCAATTTCGAGCTTCGTTTCGGCGACACTCTGCTTGAAATGGTTGCACGCAGTATAACACAGTAATTCGGTATTTCTGTACTGAGGATCTGTGGAGTACGACACCTCTGTGTAGCCCCAGATGTTCCAAACCAGGCGGGTGTAAATGAGATTTGCAAATCACCGCATCACCTCATGCCTGTTGTAGAGCCGCTAGGCGAGTGCTGATGTCAGATCCGACCTGCAACCACAGAAGCGGAGAGAGGTGACCTGCTCAAAGTGTTCGGGCTTGTTGGTTGTCGACATGTGAGTCAGCTCAGGTATTTGTTCTCATCTTTCGAGACTGTTTGCTAGCATTCCAAGCTCTCCACTTAGCGCGAATCTTCGAGGGTGGCGACCTGGATGCATTCGGTATGCTGCACCAGACCCTCTAGTAGTCCTTCTGGAGCTCACCGTGACAGTGCTTTGTTTTTGAGTATTCTGATTGTTACTAGTAGACGCCTTAGGAATCATGACAAGTGTTCAGTAGCAGCATTGCTGGTCAGGGCTGCCGTGCAAGGCTGTTGAGAGTCGGATCTTCTCTGTGTCACTGTTGTCTAGTGTCACACCTGTGTCTGACATCTGTGCATGTGTGTCTGCCTGGCACTTGTGGATTCCTGACGATATTCGTACGTCAGACCTAAGACAGGCAAGGTGCCATCACATCTTCTTCTTCACGAAGTCAGATCCCATCCGTAAAGGGTCGTTGTCGGCGTCGTCGTCGTTGTTGTCGTTGCTGCTGTTGTTGTAGCCTCGTCGTTTTCTCTGCAACGCCGAGCACTTTGCCCCCGCAAATACCAGCTTGATTTCGCACTGTCATCGTTGTTCATCTATGCTTACTTGGGAAGGCCCGGTTTTATGAGTGGGATTCGAGGTGACAGCTTGGTTGGCATCCTGGGATCCCTGGCTCGAGTACAACATGAGAGGTTGTTTCCTTGCATTCTTTATCTGTGCGCCCTGCTCGTCATGAGTCATACGTTGGTGCTGCCGAAGTCTGTGGCAGCTGAAAACTGCAGGAATGGTGACAAGCATTATCGACATCGCGAGGGTGTGGCCTGTCCAGCGATGTCCAAAGCAGGAGCAGGCTGCCACAGCAGTCAAGCAAGACGAGCGACATGTTCGCAGTTAGTCCCTGGTGCAAGCTGATAGTCTCCCCGAGCGGTAGATATTACCTACATACATACACACATACATGCATGCATACATACATACATACATACATATATACGTATATACATACATACTGTGATTTGTTTCGTGGCGCTGAAGTGCGACATGAGTGGGAGGCGGGTGCTTCGTCGCATCACTGCCAGATTGCTTTGCATGGCAATCAGCATGGCCAAGGTCGCAGCAATGCGCGGAAAGTGAATTTGGAGAAGCTGGCTCGACATTTTCGGGGCAAACGAGCACAACCCGAGAGTCGTTTGAAAGCGAAGTCAGCGAGTCCACTAATGTACAGATTGCGGGTCTACAGCTGTAGATCATTGCTCCGTTAGCGGTTAGCAAAAGTGCAAGCACCTTTCTGACTGTCAGTGTACAGAGACATGGATTGGACAGCTTGATTTAAGTACGCCATGCTCGGCGGTCTGCAGTCAGCAAGCAGCGACTGTGCAGCGAGTACTGAACATGCCGGTGGCGGTGAATGTTGAAGCATGCATGCAGTACACGGAAGAATGTTTGTTGGGTTCGTGCAACATCCCTAGTGCAATTTGCTTGGCATAGACGAGCAGCAAACCACTTCCACCAAAACCCATTGGACTCGTTCCTGCGTTGAAAAGCACGTGCTCTGATGTTGCACTAACCTGTGGCATGCACAGGAAGGTCCCAGTCCTCCCGAGGGTATCCAGCTTGCGGAAATGGAACGGCACGGGCAACTTGTTTTCACTTCCATGCGTGGCCGCACTTGGGTTCCTCTGCACCAGTTGCGGAATAAGTGCTGGCCTCGTGCCTGAAAACCCCCTTGAAATGTGTAGGCCCTAGGCTACACAGAACCATGTTACAACCTTGCAAGGCAGAACTTGCGAATCAGCTTGACGCCATGCCGCTGCTGGGCACTCTCCCGCAGCATCCTCAATGCAATGATTTTTTTGATCAGGGTCCTCCCATGAAGGCAAATTTGGCCACAAAAAGCTGCAAGGTCACAAAGTGAGCAGGGCGAACTGGAAAGGCCGTTTGGAGCCAAAATGTTGACAGTTCTTGGACACGTGACGTGCTGCGATTGTTGGATAGTGTTGGCTTCTGAAGGACGCCGGACACGAAGCACCGCAGCCTGGGAATTACAAAGGCCTCGGTCGAAGGTCATGCATTGGCTGCAGATTTCTCGGCCTGAACTTTGGCGAAAGGCAGACAGCCAGGATGCTGGGGTCAAGTCGCCGAGCCCTAGAGTTGTGTGCAACTTCAGGAGCGAACAGTACTCTGCAGAGTGAGGTCAGTTCGGCAACGTACGACAGCAAACCCCTTCGCCACAGCAGGTAGCTGAGACGTTCTGGCATGCAGCAGGTTTGCTGCTGTTTGTTATGGAGATGACCTTGTAGATCGGCAAGCTCTCAAGTCAAAGTGCTACCAGTGCGTATGGATCTTGAAATATATGTCTTTCTTGTGCACATGTCCTGGCAGAAGTGTGGCTGTTGGACTGGCTCTGGCAAGCAACTCACCGGCCAACTCGAAACTACATGAGTCCATACTGTGGGCACATGCGGGCACTGCGCCGAGGTCGCAACGCCACTTCGCAGATTTTTGGCAGCCGGCATCTTGGAGATCAGGTCGAATCTGACAAAGGCTTGCACCTATTAACAGCAGAATATCATCGCAAATCGTCGCAAAGGCCAGGGGAGGAGCATGACGCAGCTCGCAGGCGGCTTTGTGCTGCCATTGCTCGCCCTAGTTTTTTACATGCGCACTCACGGTGCGTTTCATCTGATGTTCCTTTGAGTGGCCATGAGGTAAATCTTTTAATTCGGCTCAAGATCCAATCTGTTTGGACGACAGCTGGTCCGATGTATAGACAGAGAACTTGCAGAATTCGTGAATGCATATCCAGTTGTTTAATTTCACACAGTGGCACCTACCTAGGCGGGCAGGCACATGTTAGCCTGGATGCGAAAAAACGTACGCGGTTCCATTCCGTAGTCAGGCAGGTAATTAGTACTGCAGTCTGGTCACCAGAATCTGGTGCTGAGCCCTGAAGAGAGCATGAGATCCATCCATCTCAAAACGGCAAGGGTTTTCGATCATAGAAGCGAAAATAAAGGCTGGAGAGCTGAGCATTCCGAGGGTCCCCGCAAGCTAAGCCAAGATTTGTCCAGAATCTCCGACGTATCCATGATCCCCAAACTCATTGGCTCACACGAGCAGTGAGAAGCGTTGCACAAACCCTGAAGTCAAAACCTTAATCCAACTATTCTGGTGGTGTCGAAGTGGTTGCCAGCTTCTGATGTAGTCAAACATATGTAGGTGGACACAGAGACCTCGTCTGGCAGAGTCCGAGTTGCGAGAGCGTAATCCAAGTATTACAACATCACCCAAGCGCAGCAAACCGCTGCAAACGCTAGGCTACTTCCTAGACGACTTCGCAGGCTCCTCGTGGTCACCACGATGATACTTCTGTTCCATGTCATTGCTGACCGATGTGTCCAACCGGATGTTTCAGCGGGTGCTACATCCTGTACCCACTGATACGGGATGTGGAGCAACCCGCTGTCAAAGCTGCTGTTGTCGTCGTTTCTTCTGGTGCAGTGCGTCGCTCTCAAGCCATTGGTTAGTTTCTACCGCCAAGAGGGCCTTGAGAGTGAATGAACTACTTCATATTTTGAAGGCCATTCCAGGGCCTCCTGAGCACATGCTGCGCCATGCCAAGGTGGGTTTCTACGTGTACTTTCCAGACTGGGCCCTTTCCGGGTCCTTAAGGCAAACGTGATGTGCTTTTCTAGGCGCCAGACGGCAACTTAATGTAGCGACCCGCCGTCATGAAAACATACCATGTTTCGGCATGCCTGCGTCGTCACCCTCCTTCTCGTCTTAGTCCTCCTCCTCCTCCTTCTCCGACTTCCCGTCCTGCCGCTCGGGCTTATATGCACCACCGCCAGCATGATCATCATCGTCATCATCCTAAGTATCGTCATCATCATCGTCAGCTGTGTTTGGGGCTTATTGACTTCGGCCGATGGCCTTGCCGGCTCGAACACCAGCCAAGGCTCGGCACTAAGTCATGTGATGATTGTCACTTTCGCAGGTTTCCACTAGCTTGAGTACAGAGCCAGTCCAACGCAAATTTGGAAAACGCCTCGACCAGCACGCGACACTGCTGGAAATCTTAATGGGCACGTCCGGCTTAGCTGCTTGAACACCCGCTGACCGCCATGGCTACCAGCCACTCGGAAGCAGCTGGAAAACCAGAGTGCCCAGCATGAGAAAGCGGTCTATGAACGTGCTAAAAATGCTTCGGCGCAGGAGCTTTCGGCTCTGACCCCGAGCATCCCCGAGCAGCCGGATGAGTCGGTCCTAGGGGGTCCGAGTGTCGCAGGCAGGGCCTGGCTTCAGATCGTTTTCCGCCTCGTCATCCGACTTTATATCTAAGGCCGATGAAGAGGACATGGTGATCGGTTGGGGGCTGACACCGGCACCAGTCGCACCTTACATCCTCCAGTCGGTGCTGAACCTGCAGAACTTTGAAGCCAACCCGTGATTTTCTCAACCATTTCCTCAGCAGGGCCACTTCCTTGTGACCATATGTTCGGAGAGAGCACGAGCCTTTGTGTCCCAGAAGGCTGATCGACGTTTTTCGGCATCAGCAAGTTTAGCTCAAGAGCCTTGCGGGAGGCCCCTGGGCTGCTATGCTGTTGCGACTCGCAAAGTTTACGTGCGTCTGAGTTTGGGCGTGCAGAAGATGGCTTTGCGCAAGTTGGCGAATTTTTCGAGATTGCCAAGGTTTGCGTGCAGGTGGATTCCCGTTTCTAGGCGACAGCTTGCGCAAAGGAGTAGGTCATCTGACAAGTTAACAAACCACGCCAGGGGGTGCATCTTGAAACACTTAACGGTAGCAGGCACGCGCGACCACCTTACAAGTCAGCTTGCTCCATGTTGACTTGATCCATCGAGGTACACACACATGTTCAAGGGATTTGTTCAAGCGCATATCAACAAGCCGTCGCAACCGTTTCGACAGAGGCTGTACCAAGTCTTCGCACCAAGTCTTCGCTCCCGTACGCCCAGCAGCCAAAACGAGACCTGCGTGCACTCATCCAAGAACCCCTAGGAAAGCAGATTAGCTGGATTTGGTCGGATCAGGTTGCCCGTCTGTGGTCCCAAGTGCTGTCCCAAGGTCATTGGCCGAAAGTGAGTACGGGACAGGAATCGCCTCTTCTCGAGTCCCGAATACACGGCCTTCGCATGCCTTCGCTGTACTGTAACCTCCTGTTGAGGCAGACTTGCTCAATTTCCGGCAGAACATCCCAGGCTGCTTTCTGTTCATTCGTTTCTTGCGCAACTTCGTGGAGAGATTTCGCAGCGTAGAGTCTTGTCGAATCGCTGGGGGGTAAGAGCCATCGGCATAGGATCCCAGTAGTTGTGGAGGATGCGCCTCTGCTTGCGACTACGCTATAAAATCTACAAGGCAGCAAGACATGAAAGGGCTTGGAAGCCGTCCGTGCTGTGCTTGCAAACCACCTCTCCTCCCCATGTATCAACATATGTCAACGTGGACGTAATCAACCTTTTCAAGCTCAAACTCCACCTGTCGCAAGGCCGTGTTCGCCTGCAGTCAATTAATTGCCATTCGCACGGAAGGAGGTCGGAGGTCGCCAAAGCATTGGCGAAAGGTCTCGACTGGCGGCACTGAGCCTTGATGCTCATCGCGGCGAGCAGGCGAGCAAAGCATTGCAACTTTCTGCGGTTGAACATGTCATTGAGCAGGTGCTTAGCAGACGGCCTCAGCATCAAGTCGTGTCGATATGCGAATTATCGGCGCAATTAGTTTACAACTTGGATGCTTGACGGTCGAAGCTTTCGATACAATGCTTTTCCATTTTAGCGCAGAAGGTAAAATTCGATTTCGTGTCGGAGCCAGCGCTGCAATACAGCAGAAACCACTTTGCTGAAACCTTGTGCGGATGCTTGGCTGTGTCTGTTGTCCGAGGCAGCATTCGTAAGCGAAGGTGGGCATGGCGGGATTTCCCGCCAAATCCTTTGAACAGGGGCCTTTGCCGGCAGTCATTGCAGTTTCCTCGGGTGGAAATTGACTTGCATGACGATTGAAAGGGCGTGCCTGTGCAGGTCCGCTCGATTTTCACTCGACTTCGGGGCCTCCAGCTTTTAGCAGCACGATGGCTGCGACCTTCCGGATTTTCGATATGTTAAGCTGCTTTATCGATCCCAAGCAGCTACGAACTGTGTAGCGTTCATATGCAGAAGCGCTGAGCCCCACACTTCAATCGCAGGCTGGGACGGCTTAAGGGCACTGCGGCGGGGTCTGACGTTTGACGATTTCATGTCCCTAGAGTCGTCCCGGCCACAACACATTGGACTTCTGATCCACCAGTCCTTTCGGGTGCGTCGGTGTGACTGGCCCACTCTCCGCCACACAAAGCTGATTGCAGGTTTTGACATCTGCGCGGTTGATGTGGCAGCAGCGAGTGCAAAGCACTTCGAGTAGACGTGACAGGACTGCAGTGCTGAAGATCGAGAGGCACATCCCAGTGTTAGTATAGGAAAAAGACGGCACGCAACCCAGCCACACATGACGACTTCGTGCCGTCACTGGATCCATGATGCAAGCACCCCGCCATCTGCAGTTCCCTGCCGAGCTGGACAGTCGGCCCGGCAAGCCTTTGTGAAGAGTAGCAGTTTGAGTCCTTTGCCTTTGGAGTGGCTGTGACATGCGATTGACCTGTGCCATGCCTCACGAATGTTTCCATTGCTGGTCGTGTGACCCGAAGCTGTTGTGGTCTCGGTGCCACTGCTGCGCTGCACGCGTCGCAGTGCGAAATCGTTAGGCTGCGTGTCCACTGGTACATCGCAAGTGCAGTGTTTTCTGCAGTACCCTGCTGAGCTGGGAAGTGGTCCCGCCCGGTCGCTGTGCACAGGAGTATATAGCTGGAGTGGCATGTGAAAGGCCCGCACCATGCCTTCGGAATTTCTGTAACTTTGCTTATCTGACTATGCTGCTCCGCGGCCGATTGCATGTTCCGCTTTGGTCAAGTTGGGTGTGGATTGACTTGACGTGTTGATGCCGTTGACTCCGGCGAGTCGGCCGTCAAGAGTCCAGGTTGCAGGAGCAAGACAACAGATCAACAGACTAGACCCTTGTCTGTCCTGAAGAGACACCACCCCACCACTTGGTAGCCCATTTCTAGTGCGATCCTCACGGTGTGACTCATTCAGCTAGGGAGGTGGGGAAAAAAGTCTTTCGCGGGGTTGTTGCAGCCATGTTTGCGGGTTCGACGCACGTTTCCAGGAGTTTGCATGGGTTCGCCTATCCCTTATTCCGGTGAAGACTCCAGCTGAGATAATGTACTTGGAGTTGTGTGTCTGGGACCTGAAAAGCAAGAGCCGGAGTCGGAGTCGAGACATGCATTGGAGGGGTTACAGGGCACCCAACCAAGTACCTTAGTTGTAGGAGGGTGGTGGGAAGAGAGCCAGGTGCTTCGATGGCACTTGTGACATTGTGCGGAGCGGTTGTGTCCTGTGCTGGAGAAGCCTGCCGATTCGACTTCTTACGCCATCTGGCAATGCCTGTAGTTTCCCTCTCCTGAAGGCTGTGGAGCAGGTGCCCTTGGACTCAGAGCACGCCAGCTGCTCCGAGACAGTAGCTCCCAGCTGCACATGCTGACTTGCGGGTGCTGCTGA